CGGGAGCGGCCACTGCACTCCAGTCTGGGTGACAGAGTGAGACTCCAACTCAAAAACAAAGAAAAGCAAGAAAAAAAAATAATTTACTATATGCTTCAAAATAATTTACTGTGTGCTTCAAAATAGAAAAGACAATCTCAAATTTTCCCAACACAAAGAAATGATAAACATTTGAGGTGATGGACATCCCAATTACCGTGATCTGATTATTACACATTGTATACAGGTATCAAAATATCACTTGTATCTCATAAATATGTACAATTATTATGTATCAGTTTAATTCAGCATTGGGGGGGTCACTGGCCCTATGTCCAGCCCCACTGTGAAGCCTGGACACACCTACCAACTCCACCATTGTAAGGACAGAATGGCACACATTGCTTCAGTAAAGTGACATCTTTCAGATACCTTTTCAGATATTCATAGTCTTGATGCACTGGGCAGGTTCACGAGTGTTCTTAAGCAAACATGAAGATTTAGGCTGCTTGATTTGCTTGTCTGGGTTTTTCTGGGTCAAGTGAATAGCAAAACATTTTCACAGACCACCTCAGACTGCTTATGGATGAGAAGTGGCCCCTGGAAAAATTCATGAGAACTTGTCCTCTTGAGAGAGTCCCAGCCAAAGCTCAATAAGTGTTTTTTTTAGAATACCATTTTAATTCCTCTGTTTTTTAACTACCCATGTATTTATGCTATTATTATTTGTATTTTCTTATTGATGATGAATATTTTTGCTATACTTTTGACATTTAGAACAGAGAATTCCAGACCCTGAAGCCATTTAACTAGCCAAGAAAGGGTTTGTCACTGATTCAAAACTAAAAAAGCACAAGCACCAACTTCCTACCCAAAGAAAGGCTACTCCCCCCACCCCCATTCCAGGTCACAGAGGAGAATGTCTGCCAGCAGAATTGTGGAACACCATGGGGAGGAAGAGAAGAGGCCCATCCAGGGTCACACCCAGTTCCCAGCTCTGTCAGGGGACAGCCCCATCAGAGGGCAGGCGCTCTGGAGTCAGAGGAGCAAACTCGAGACTTGCTTCAATTCTTACTTTGACCCTGAGAAAGTCCTCTCTGAGCTTCAGTTTTGTTTTCGCATCTGTAAAATGATGACATTTTTCTGAGGTCGTAGTTATAAAGGGGCTCTGTGGTCTATCAAGAGCCCAAAAAGTAGAAGCCACACACCGCTGCTGAGCTCCCATGAGGCATGTAGCCCCCACAGCAATGTGGAAGAGCCAGTATGCAGCACCAATTTTACAACTGGGAAATGAGGCTCAGAGAGGCTGAGCAACCTGCCCAAGGCCACAGAACTCAGCGGTGGAGAAGCCAAGATCAGAGCCTGGCCTGATGCCTCAAAGCCTCTATTCACACCACGTTCAGGAACCACAGCGGCCATTACTGTGGACATGATCACAGCGCAGCAGCCCAGGGCAGATGCCAATCCTGGGAGGCCTGGCTACCTGGGTGACGGCGTCTACGGTGCTCCCAGCCCTGAGGAGGAGCTGCACACAGTCGGGGTGGATGCCTTCAGCAGCTGCGTGCAGGGCGGTCAGACCTTCCTGAAACACACAGAGAGAGGCCTAGGGACAGCAGGGAGGCAGACTGAGGTGGGCCCAGATCCCAAGGTAAGAGGACACCCCTTGTGCCATGGCTGCTGGAGCTCTCCACTGCCCAGTTGCTGAGGACAATGAGTTTGCTTGCTTGTGGTCCCCTGAGCACCCCGCACCTGACGTCCTCACTTTGTGGAGCACACATTCCCTGCTCACATCTCCTATCCCTTGAGGCCATCTCAGCCCCTCTTCTCTGTCTATTTCTTCCTATTCTAGGAAGCCATCCCTGGTCACCCTGGTCATGGCAACTTTTCACACTCACACTCTGTGTCCCACTTCTTGGTAACCCACTGTGCCTTCTGCCCCCACTAAGTCTGGACTGCTGTGATACTGCTTAGTTCTTGCTAGGGGGCCATCAGTCCCAAGACAGGTCCCTGCTTCCTGGCTTCAGATGGCACCACGGGCTGGGGGTTCCTAAAAGGTAGGGAACAAGCAAGCATCACGCATCTCTGCTTCCCCCCGTTGGTAACTCACCACATTCCGCTCCTCCAGGTCCAGTCTGATGTCCACAAGTCGCTGCAGCACCGCCATGTGGCCCTGGCTGGCAGCCAGGTGAAGGGCTGTGTTCCCCTCCTGAGAAAACGAGGGCTCCTCAGTCGCAGGAGACCACAGAGCCCCAGGATCACAGACCCTCAAGGGCCCTAAGACCTGCCCCTCATTTTACAGACACAGAAGCTGAGGCTGGGAGGTGGGAAGTGATATGTCCAGGGCACAGAACGAGTCTGGGGTGAACTACAGGCATGCACGCCAGGCCACTGCCACCGTGTCCCCGAGAGCCGGCCCAAAACTGCCACCAAGGGCCCTTTCTTTTTTTTCTTTTTTTTGAGTTGAAGTCTCACTGGAGTGCAGTGGCCGCTCCCAGCCACCGCAGCCTCGACCTGGGGGGCTCCGGCGATCCTTCTGCCTCGGCCTTCCAAGTAGCTGGAACTACAGGCGCGCGCTACCACGCCCGGCTAATTTTTTTGATTTATTGTAGAGATGAGGTCTCGCTTTCAAGGGCCAAACCCTGGTCTCTCTTTCCCTACACTTCAGGGCAGACTCATTGCTTAAAAGCCTGCTCTCCGTGTGTCCTTCCTCAGTGCCCCAGACCTGACCTTTCTCACTGCTCAAGGCTCCTACCATCCTCTTCTGAGCTCAGGCTGCTCCCAGGCATCTACTTGGCTCAGTCGTCTGTCTCCTTCAAGTCTTTGCCTGAGATGTCAACTTCTTACAGAGTCACATGACACATGGCCTACCCTGACCACACGCTTTGAAACTACAACCCCCCAGCTCTGTCCCCCTGAGCCCCTTTTCCTGCCCTGTAGCACTGATCACCTGCTAACACACACTGTCACTGGGTGTACACGATGGTTACTGTTCACTGTCTGACTCTTCTTGCTGAAGCATAAGCCCACAAAGACAGGACTTCCCATCCATTTTATTCTCTGACGTTTCCACAACTGCCTAGAAGGGCTTGGGGGACATGGCAGACTCAGCAGATGTGCAGGTTCAATAAGTCAATAATTTAATAGAATCTCCAGGGGATCATGTCCCTTGGAGTCAGAGGACTGGTAGTTGCCTCATTCTTGGAACGTCTAAGGACACATGGCAGACACTTAATAGATGTCCAAGTTCAATGAGTCCATAACACAATAGGGTTTCCAGGAGACCCATGACCCCTGGAACTTGAGGGCCAGAGGACTGGTAGTTGCCTCGCTCTTAGAAAGTCTAAAGGCAAGCCAGGCATGGTGGTTCATGCCTTTAATCCCAGCACTTCAGGAGGCTGAGGCAAGAGAATTGCCTGATCCCACGGGTTCGTGACCAGCCTGGGCAACATGGCGAGACCTCATCTCTACACAAATCAGAAAATTTAGCCAGGCATGGTGGCAGATGCCTTTAGTTCCAGCTACTTGGAAGGCTGAAGCAGAAGAATCACCTGAACCCAGGTCAAGGCTGCGGTGGCCGTGAGCGTGCCACTGCACTCCAGCCTGGGTGACAGAGGGAGACTCCAACCAAAAAAAAAAAAAAAAAGAGGTTCGCAACCCGCCTGGGCAACTTGGCGAGACCTCATCTCTACAATAAATCAAAATGAGCTGGGTATGGTAGCACACGCCTGTAGTTCCAGCTACTCGGAAGGCTGAGGCGGAAGGATCGCCAGAGCCCTGCAGGTCGAGGCTGCAGTGGCCGCAGTCTGGGTGACGGAGTGAGACTCCAACTCAAAAAAAAAAAAAAAAGAAAGAAAGAAAGTTGGCAGGGCTCAGTGGCTCAGCCTGTAATCCCAGCACTTTGGAAAGCTGAGGCAAGTGGATTGCCTGAGCCCACAGGTTCAAGACCAGCCCAGGCATCTTGGCAAGACCTCATCTCTACAATAAATCAAAAAATTAGCCAGGTGTGGTAGCACGTGCCTGTAGTTCCAGCTACTTGGAAGGCTGAGGCGGAAGGACTGCCAGAGCCCAGCAGGTTGAGGCTGTGGTGGCCAAGAGGCGTGCCACTGCCCTCCAGCCTGGGTGATAGAGTGAGACTCCAACTCAAAAAAAGAAAAAAGAAAGAAAGTCTAAAGATGACAATGTCAGAGCCAGGAAAGCTACATTGGGCAGAGCAGAGAGCACAGTGTTCTCTGTGCTAGAAGTGCTCCCCGCTGAGGTCAGCAGGCTCAGAGCTGTACTTTAAAAGGACCCTGCCGCAGAGGACACCTGAGGGGTGAGGAGACCCCGGACAAGGGAGAACAGCTAGACATGACCAGCCAGAGAAGAGGTGATCCTCAAAGAGCAAGCATTCCCGAGGGACCCACAGAAGCATCGAGAAGGCAAGATCCAGCTTTGACGGCTCATCACACCCAGAAAGCACCTGGGCCTCACGACTTAGCTGAACCAGCCATGGGGGACTCCTGGCCCAAGCGCTTCCTCTGCCCGGCCTGCCCCAATACCTTCCTAAGGAGAAGATCATGACACTCACACGGAGGCACAGCTTTCCAAAGTCCAAAGATGCGAACACACACTAAAACCAAAGCGGTACTTAAAACAGGTCAAAACATGCCCAACCCAGTGATGAAACCACACATCCATAAAACAGCTATATCTATCTTACAGGATCAAAAACCAGACTTCAAACTTCCTTTATGATCATACTATTGGGTTGATAAATAAGAGTTAAGTTTAAACATCCTCCTCAGCAGCTTTGCCCCGCTCCTCCCCCACCTCCTAGTGGCTGGAAGCAAGGATCTGAGGAGCAGCATCCGAAAATGCAGCCATGGCGTGCAGTTCTGTGTTCAGAGACACAAAAGAAGTGGGTGACCCATGAAGGGCCAACACGTGCCCCCAGTCAGCAGGATGTGGAGACAGACTGTCATGGGGTTTTCTTCTTCGCTACAAAAATCCACATCCTGCCCTCTGAAGCTGCAGGTGGCACGCACAGACATCTAACAGGGCACTCTTTCCTGGGGCAGGACAGGGGGCTCAGAGGCAGAAGAGCAGGATGGAAGAAAGCCATGGCCTTGGGCTTGGTGCCCTCTTCCCTCTGCCTCAGGGATGCCCAGCATGTCCACCTCTGTGAGACCTTGACAGCAAAGCCTTGCCCTTTCAAGTAGAATTAGTCACTCTCTCTGGGCTCTCAAAGCCTTCCGACCATTCATTATAGTGCATGTGGTGTGACCTGTGTTGTCGTTAGTTCTGACAGGTCTCTTCCCCTTAGTAGATCTTGAAAAACATACTGTGCCCCTCCTCAAATTAAATTCAAAATGAAAACACTCCTGCTGGGCGCAGTGGCTCACACCTATAATCCCAGCACTTTGGGAGGCAGAGGCGAGAGGACTGTCTGAGCCCAGGGGCTCAAGACCAGCCTGGGCAACTTGGCAAGACCTCATCTCTACAATAAATCAAAAAATTAGCTGAGCATGGTAGCGTATGCTTGTGGTTCCAGCTACTTGGAAGGTCATGAGCGTGCCACTGCACTCCAGCCTGGGTGACAGTGAGAAAGAAAGAAAAGAAAGAAGGAGGGAGGGAGGAAGAAAGAAAACACTCATAACCTGAAACATAAAACTTAACAGAGGTATGCAATTTTAAAAGCTTCTTTGTAGAACTTCTGATTTCAAGATTCTGGATAAGTTCATCAAAATTGGATTTTTTTTTTCCTTCTGTTTCTGGTGCTCCTGCTTTCCTGGGCCCTGAGGTATGATCATTTTTGCCTGCTGGGTAAGGTTACCCTGGCAAGGGCTATCCCAGCCCCTCTCTGTGTCCCTGCTTCCTGGCCCAGTGCCTGGTATGGAGCAGGACCTGCTCTGCCCGAGTTTCCAGAATGAAGGAAACCAGCCTGATCTGATGAGGGAGGGGAACACAGAGATCTGGTGAGGGAGGGGAACACAGAGTCATGCAGCAGAGTGCTGATTCTAAACCCAGTTCTACCTTTGTCTTGTGTGATCTTGGCCAAAGCATTCCCTAGAGGGCCTCAGTTTCCACAGCTCTGAACTGAGAAGGCGGAACTGGTCCTTGACAAAGACACCTTCCAGTGCTGAGATCTTGTGGTGCATTTGTCTGAGAGCTCACTACAACGTAGACAGAACTCCCTCTATCCTGGCCAAGCACATTAGTCAGAAGATTAATAATGGAGGATATTCCTTTGTTGGAAGTATCATTTAGCATCTGCTGCCATATATTTTGTAATGATTCACAAGGGTCCACTGACAAGAGTCATTTGCAGGGTCATCTCTTCTGGCCCCATTCCTCACCCCTTCTTTTTTTGTTTCAGTTGGAGTCTCACTCTGTCGCCCAGACTGGAGTGCAGTGGCTGCTCCCGGCCACCGCAGCCCCGACCTGCTGGACTCCGGCGATCCTTCCGCCTCAGCCTTCCAAGCAGCCGGAACTACAGGCGCACGCTACCACGCCTGGCTAATTTTTGATTTATTGTAGAGATGAGGTCTCGCCAAGTTGCCCAGGCGGGTCTCAAACCCACGGGCTCAGGCAATCCACTCACCTCGCCTCCCAAAGGCGCAGGATTACAGGCTGAGCCACTGAGCCCGGCTTCCTCAGCCCTTCTTAAAGCAGCAAAATCCTGCTCATAAGCTCTCCACCCCGAATGAGCTGCTCCCTCCTCAGTGTTCCCATCCTATTTGGCCATAGCCATAGTAGAGCACTAAATCACAAAGAAGGCAAATAACCAGCAGGCCTGTGGCTCCCATCCCCAACTCTTCCCCACATCCCCAATGAGAGGTGACCACAATGGCACAAAGTCCTGCTCAACGTGCTCCAAGCGGCGCTACCCCCCAACCAGACCTACCATCCTGGCCTGTCACATAGGGTCACAGCTCTTGACTAGGATTGTGGTGCTGAGCTCCTTGAGTAAGAAACTGGGTCTTGGGCATCTTTATGCCACCAACCCAGGGCACAGGGCTAGCCCATAATGCGTGCTGGTGAAAAGCTGCTGGATGAACCCTGGACACAGTCTGGTCTTTGGGTCACCACCCCTCCTCACCTGTGCCCATGTGGGTATCAGATATAGGCACAGGTGAGGAGTCAGAGCCCGGAAGGTGGCAGGTTCTGCACCCCGGTAGAAGCCCAGAGTCTCACGGTCACAGTACCTTGTCTTTGACACTGTGGTCACAGCCAGAGCCCACGAGGAAGTCCAGAGCATCCAGCTGCCCGTGCTCAGCTGCCCTGAGGAATGCTGTCCTGCCCAGCTGGCCAGAAGAAGAAAGAAGGAGTGTGAACCTTCCTGGCCCTGTGGGAGGGTACGCCTGCCCCGCCAGCTTGGCCTCTATGTCCCCAACCACTCTGGCCTTGCAGCGTCCGCTCCTGCCCCGGCACTTCCCTTTCCCCTTCCCCTGCCCTACACAACCTGCTTGGAAAGCCCAGCCCTCAGCTCCCAGCAAGAGCTGCATGGCGGCTCCCACCCCCACTGACTTAGGTGACCCCCTGTTGCCTACTGAATAAAGGGCAGATTTCTGAGGCTGAGGGTTAAGATCTCCAGAGGGTCCCCCAGCCCCCCTTGGGCCTTCCCTTCCAAGATTCCAGTTCATCAGAATTCACACACAGAGGACCCTTCCCATCTCTCAAGCTCTAGCAAGGCCCTCTCCTCCTCGTGATCCTGGTCCCCAGCCTCTGCTTTCCAATCTTATCCACAAACGCAGTTCATTCACCCAGTGCCACCTCCTCCAGGAAGGAGAAAGCAAAGGCTTCTCTAACCTGTCTAGTCCTTGATCAGGGCTTTTCTGAGGCAACCGGCCGTGTTCTACTTGCACATTTGTGTCCAGACGCCTCTTCCAGACCGGTGATTCCCCAGGCAGGGTCCAGTCTGTCCACAGCTCAAAGGATGCATGCAAGGAGTTCCATAAGCCCACTGGTCTCCGAGGGAGGCCGACAGCCCTGTCTCTCACCTTATCTGTGTGGTCCAGGGCCACGTCCTCCAGGTCCTCCATGATGAACGCCAGCACAGGCACGTGGCCTTTTTGAGCTGCACAGTGCAGTAAAGTCAGGCCATCCTGAAAGCAAGCCCAGGGCAGGCCCTGCAGTCTGCGAAGGCAGGCCCTTCTCACGCACTGCCTGTCTCCCGCACAGTGGGTGTTTGGAACCCAGAACACAGCCTCCCCTCCCAGTGGAAACAACCCTGCAAATAACAAAAAGGCCCCAGGGATAACGCACTCCGGCCCAGTGGGAGTCAGGATGCCAGAATCCAACTCCTAACTCCAGTACTCATCAGCTCTGTGGCCTTGTGCTGGTCACCTCTGCCTCTCTGAGCCTCCATTTTCACATAGGTCAAATTAGGATAATAATCCCTAATTACCTCAGTGGATGGTTGAGAGAACTGGGCCCACAGGAAAAGCATTTTTATCAACTGAAAAATGATTCGAGCACGTAAGGTGAGGTTGTAGATCACCAGCAGTCCTTGGAACATCTCCACAGAACAGTTTAGAAGGTTCTAGACATCTGCTCCCTTAATACAGATGCTAATGGAGAAGCAGGTGACTAAGCACCCAGGACATTTCACTAGGAGGCAACCTCCAAACCTTCCAACAAAGACTGAGAGCAGCTCTGGTCTGTAGGGACTAGAGGGAAACGGCCTGGGTTGGGTGAGGGCAGACAGGAAGGTGATCTCCTGAGCCCAGAAGCAGCATTTAGAGGGAGGCCTGCAACTCTTAGGTTGATGACCCAGAGCTGCTATCCTGCCTCGCACTAAGGTCATATTGTTTTTGTTTTGTTTTTGGGGAGGGGGGTTGAGTAGAGGGTCTCACTCTGTCACCCAGGCTGGAGTGAAGTGGCGGAATCATGGCTCACCACAGCCTCAACCTCCTAGCATCAGGCAGTCCTCCCGCCTCAACCTCCCAAATAGCTAGGACTGCAAGTGAGCACCACACCTGGCTAATTTTTTTTTTTTTTTTTTTTTTGGTAGAGACAAGGTCTTACTCCATTGCCCAAGTTGGTATTGAATTCCCGGGCTCAAACAGACTTCCTGCCTTGGCCTCCCAAAGTGCAGGATTACAGACATGAGCCACCACGCCCCAGATTATTTGAAGCATTGTTTTTCAAATAGCAGATTGCAACCCATCAATGGGTCATAAAAATCAACAGAACAATGTTTTACATCTTGACAGTGGTCAAATCTCAGTAATTATGAATGTTACATTTGTGTGTTTCATGTTGGTATCATGGACTGCTTGCTATGAAGAGATGAGAAGGGCACTCCCCTCTGTGCTATTCTTCCCAAATTGCATAACCCTAGATTAATCATGAGGAAAACACTAGACAGACCCAAATCAAAGGACATTCTACAAACTCCTTGGCTATTACTTTTCAAAAGCATCAAGGTAATGAAAAATAAGGAAAAACTGCCAGGTGTGGTGGCTCACACCCATAACCCCAGCACTTTGGGAGGCAGAAATGAGAGGATTGGCTGAACCCAGGAGTTCAAGACCAGCATGGGCAACTTGGTGAGACCTTGTCTCCAATAAAAGTCAAAAAATTAGCCGGGTGTGGTGGCACATGTCTGTAGCTCCAGCTACTTGGAAAGCTGAGGCAGAAGGATTGCCTGAGACCAGGAGGTCGAAGCTATGGTGGCTATGAGCATGTCACTGCACTCCAGTCTGGGCAACAGAGTGAAACTCTGACTCAGGAAAAAAAAAGAAAGAAAGAAAAACTAAAAAATCATCACAAGATTGGAAGAGACTGTAGGCTACTAATGGGAAAACTGATGGAATTTTAATATACTAATAGTCTAGCCAGGTGCGGTGGCTCACGCCTGTAATCCCAGCACTTTGGAAGGTAGAGAGAGAGGACTGCCTGAGCCACTGAGTTCAAGACCAGCCTGGGCAACTTGGTGAGACCTCATCTCTATAATAAACCAAAAAGTTAGCCAAACACGGTGGCACATGCCTGTAGTTCCAGCTACTTGGAAGGTTGAGGCAGAAGGATCGCCTGAGCCCAGCAGGTCGATGCTGTGGTGGCCATGAGTGTGCCACTGTACTCCAACTCGGGCGACAGAGACTCTGAGTCAAAAAAAAATAGTCTATAGTTTGTAAAAACCTTAAGTATCACAAGGCCTAATAAGGCAGAGCCAAGCAAGCAGCAGGGAACAGAAAAAGCTTCAGAGCAGAAGCTGGACTGTGATCATGGCATCTAAAGGGAAAGGGAATCCCTCTGAGCAAGACCTCGAACAAGAGATTGAAAGGGAGAGTGAAATGTATCATTTGCAAAGACGGCTGCAACTATGCCTCCCACCCTGGAAGCACCCCCAAGACTGTGCTACACTTCTCACCAAGAGGGAGAATTCAATGTTCTCCTCCCCTGGAATCTAGGCTGGACCTGGGATGGGCTTTGACCAACAAAAGATGTGGAAATAGCAACATGTGGCCGGGCTCGGTGGCTCAGCCTGTAATCCCAGTGCTTTGGGAGGCCGAAGTGAGTGGATTGCCTGAGCCCGAGGGTTCGAGACCCACCCGGACAACTTGGCGAGACCTCATCTCTACAATAAATCAAAAATTAGCCGGGCATAGTAGCACACGCCTGTAGTTACAGGTACTTGAAAGACTGAGGGGAAAGGATCACCATGAGCCCAGCAGGTCGAGGCTGCAATGGCCAGGAGTGTGCCACTGCACTCCAGTCTGAGTGATGGAGTGAGACTCCCACTCAAAAAAAGAAAAGAAATAGCAACATGTGACTCTCCAACCTTTGGCCTCTAGAGACCTTGCCAATTCCACTCTTGCTTTTTTTTCCAGCCCAGAGGCTGCCACATAAGGAGATCCAGACTGGCCTCACTGAGGATCAGCAACCCTAGAGAAACTAGTCACACCATCCCAGACACTCCAGCCCCCCTGCAGGACCCCCAGACACATGAGTGAGACTCTCCAGGCCAGCCAGCAGCCCTCAACTCGACCACCTGCTGACTGCAGCCATATGGTGAGCCCAGACAAAGTCAGAGAAGCTGCCAGCCAATCACAAAATTGTGGAAAATAACAAATCATCATTATGTTAAGTCACTAAACTTTACAGTGATGTGTGGCCAAAAACAGAAAACAAATCTGCTTAACGAAGGGTCCGTTATTCAGAGCCCTACCCTCCATATACACCCAAGACGCGGCCTCGCTCATTCTGGAACTCTGAGGCTCATTCCCAGCTCTGTGCTTACAGCAAATTCCAATCGATGGACTGGATTGTTAAAATGTGGTACATATACACGATGGAATATTACATAATACATAAAGAAGGACAAGCATATGAATTTCGCAACAACTTAGATGAATTTAGAGTCTATAATACTCAGTGATCTATCACAGAAACATAGAACAGAGTTCCATATGTTCTCACTCATAAGCAGACCCTGAACGTTTACTATAATACTGTAAGAAAGGGATTGGCAAGCCTGGCTTGGTGGCTCAGCCTGTAATCCCACGCCTTTGGGAGGCTGAGATGAGTGGATTGCCTGAGCCCGTGGGTTCAAGACCTGCCTGGGCAACTTGGCAAGACCTCATCTCTACAAGAAATCAAAAAATCAGCCGGGCATGGTAGCGTGCGCCTGTAATTCCGGCTACTCGGAAGGCTGAGGCGGAAGGATCGTCGGAGCCCAGCGGGTCGAGGCCGCAATGGCCAGGAGCGGCCACTGCACTCCAGTCTGGGCAACAGAGTGAGACTCCAACTCAAAAAAAAAAGAAAAGAAAAGAAAGGGATTGGCAGTAGTGGGATACTGCCTGGCTGGCAGGGGTGGGGACACAACACCAATAAGGACACCTGAACTCAAACCAGGCAAAGTGGGAGCCAAAGGGAGGCCCAAACTTTACCCTTATAATGTCCACTTGCATACCTAATCCTGAATCACACCCCACATCTTTAAAATAAATACTTTTTTTTTAAGCCGGGCTCGGTGGCTCAGCCTGTAATCCCGCGCCTTGGGAGGCTGAGGTGAGTGGATTGCCTGAGCCCGCGGGTTCAAGACCCGCCTGGGCAGCGAAACCTCATCTCTACAATAAATCAAAAAATCAGCCGGGTGTGGTAGCGCGCACCTGTAGTTCCGGCTACTCGGAAGGCTGAGGTGGAAGGATCGCTGGAGCCCAGCAGGTCGAGGTTGCGGTGGCCGGGAGCGGCCACTGCACTCCAGTCTGGGCGACCAAGTGAGACTCCAACTCAAAAAAAAATTAATTAATTAATTAATTAATTAAATAAAATAAAATAAATACTTTTTTTTAATTCCAATCAAGATAGCCACTGGATTTCCCAGAGCTACTGAGCCCCTCCAAGGCCAGGCGGGCAGGACCAGACAGGAGGACCTTGAGCTTGAACCTGTATGTCTTCACAGGGAGCCTTCCTGCTAGCGCCTCACTCCCACACTCCAGCTCAGGCTCTGTGACCCATCCCGTAGGGGGATCCTTCTCTGGGAGCTGTCAGGCATTCCTACCACTGCCAACAAGAGCCTAACGATGGCACAAGGCAGACTTCTTACGTGCCCTGGCCCTCTTTAACATCTAGTGAAGCCAACCTGTAGACTTCTTCTTAGAATAATGTTTACTTAAATGCAAAAAAAATAAATTACATGGGAAAAAATGTTGAATCAAATGCATAGGCTTACAATGGTATACAAGTTTCCTATTGCTGCTATAACAGATTACCATAGACTTGTTGGCTTAAATAGCACAAATGTATTCTCTTACAGTCCTGGAGGTCAGATCTAAGATGGGTTGGCAGCATTTCTTCTGGAGGCTCTAGAATCCGTTTGTTGGCCTTTCCAGGCACCCCTCGGCTCATGACCTGCAACAGCCAAGCTCTGCTTCCTCTATCATCCCCCTTCTCTACCTCTTCTGCCTCTCTTTTCCCTTATCGGTACCCCTGTGATTACACCAGGCCCTTGCAGATAACCCAGGACAATCTCCCCACCTCAGGGTCTATAACTTGATCATGTCTGCCAAATTCCCTTTGCCGTGTTAGGTTCTGGGGTTCACAGGTTCTGGGGATTAGGATATGGACATCTTTAGGGACCATCATCCTGCCCACCATAAAAAGAAATCAATTATATTGAATTATCAAAATATTAAAAACCAAGTTTTCAATCTAGTAACATGTGTACCTTCATACTGATCCATTAAACAACTTAAGCAATTAAGCAGCTAGTGAAGGATCTAATAACCGCCACAATTTTGAGGTAATGATGAGTGTAAGGAGTATTTTAAGATAACTGCAGGCCGGGCTCGTGGCTCAGTCTATAATCACAGCACTTTGGGAGGCCAAGGCGAGTGGACTGCCTGAGCCCACAGGTTCGAGATCCACCAGGGCAACTTGGTGAGACTTCATCTCTACAACAAATCAAAAAATTAGCCGGATGTGGTATTGTGCGCCTGTAGTTCTGCCCACTCGGAAGGCTGAGGCAGGTCGAGGCTGCGGTGACCGGGAGCGTGCCACTGCACTCCAGCCTGGGCGACGGAGTGAGACTCCAACTCAAAAAAA